ACCAAAAAACCAACAAACAAATCAGAGGAAGATGAGCTAAAAGAGCTCCAAGAATTCTGATTTAAGGTCAGTGGAAAATCAGTGCTACCATGATCTGAAATCTGCAGCATGTGAGGAAAAGCAGGTTTGAAAATGGGTTCATGCACTAGATTTAGTATTAGAACACTGAATTTTAAAATTTTTTTAGCGATCCATGAGGAGTGACTCCTGGGCTAGAGATCAAGATGTGAGATTCACCATAGGGAATGTAGCTGCTGATATGGGAGTGGAAGAAGTCATCTGGAGAGAGAGATTAGAGAAGAGGAATGAGAATGGAAACCCATTAAACTTAGTTGGGAGGTAGACAAGGAGAAACCAGTCTTAGGAGAGTGAGAAGGTGTCAGAGAGAAAGAACAAGAAATCACTAAAGACACCTGGAAGAAAAAGGAAGGCGAATGAAAATTTTTTATAAAATTCCGTGGTGAACCAGATTAACTGTCATTGAGTAGGCTAATAAAACATACAAACATGACTCATTGTATCTGGGGATAGATATATTTGTTTAGGCATAATTCAGGGAAGTACAGCAAGACTGAGATTTTACTCATACATGGCTGCTATTGAGAGGAACTAGTGGTATCATTAACATTTATCCAAAAGCATAATGGAACACAGAACTTTACAACATCCCAAGATAATCTTTCCCATCTATGAACATCAAGGCTCTATGTTGGTGCCCAGATATGTGACAACTAGCCCTATAAAGAAATGAGTACTATAGGATCTGAGTACATAATAAGCAAACATGGGGAGATTGTAGTCATAGAGTAAGGGCATATTCATACATAATGAAAGTTCTATCCTTGAGAGAACACTGACTTTTTCTTGATATATGTTGGTTCTATATAATCAAAAAAGGCTTTATTATGCAGTGATACGCTCTCATACTAGTATTAATTAAAAATATAAAAGAAATAAATTTGATTTAAGGTAAATCTGAGTACTCTGAATCATCATCACCTTTTAGTTTCCACATTGGTCAGAGATTCAATAACAATAACAGAGTCAATGAGCTAATAAAGATGTCACTGATAATGAGAAAAATTTTACCGAAAGCCAAATTGCAAAATAATAAGAAATAAGGAGGGGAAGAAGCATGAAAATGGAAGTATACATTACTATTTTGAGAAACATAAATAATGAAGCAAACAGGAGAAATGGAAAACTTGAGCACATTTGTGATAAATGGTAAAGTCAGTACAGAAAAAAGGATAATTAATAGATCTCCTGTTAAAGTCAGAAAAAAATTGTTTAAAAACCTCAAACGAAGGAATAAATCTTACCCAGAATATGGGAAGCTTCCTCTGTCCCCAGGGACATAAAAAGAGAATGCTGTGCAGTACTTATGTTCCGACTGAGGTTGCAAACAATGAATAGGCATTGTTTTGTTTTAAACTTTTTACAGTCAGCCAGAAGACAAGCAAAGAGAAACGAGATGGTCTAATTGATAGTGATGGGGCAGAGATGGCAGAAAGGCAAGAAAATGTGGCATCTGAGGAGCACCTAGGAGAAAGATGAACAAAGACTAGGACTAGGACTAGGAGGAAGGTTGCTGAGGAAGCATCCATATTAATCCAGTCAGAAAGATGTGTTGCAAATTAGGAAGTTAATAGGTTATAGTCATATAATTTTATTAATTTTGACTTTAGTATTAAAGATGAAAAGGATCCCAAATCCCCACACCTGAACTAGACAGATACAAGAAATATACAAGGAGAAGAGACACTAGAGGCTCTGCAACTTGTTTCACTGGCTGGCATTTTTTTTGGTCCCAAAACCTATGTAGTGTTTTATCCTTGCAATCTGAGTAAGATGAACTTACATGTTTATATCCCCTTTTGCTCTTTGAGCTGTAGAACTTGCCTGGATTCAGGCTAAGTGCAGTTTGATGCCTACTTTCTCCCAAGCTCCACCTGGGTCTCTAGTCATTACTGCCTGTATGTGATAAAGAAAAAATGATGGAGAGAAACACTAAGATAAAAGAGGGTAAGCTCTCTTTGCTTCTCTACTCTAAAATATTACCCTTAATGCAGTAAAACCATGGGTGTCTGTGAGGACTGCATTTTGTTCCTGACTCATTTCAAAGCCTTGCAGTGGAGTGGGCAGGGTGGGCACATCAGGAAGCCCTGAATTTCCAGATCAGATCTAAAGTGGTAGGGATGCAGGTGGGTGGAAGAAAAGGATCAAAGTCATGTAGAAACTTATTTTAAGAGAAAGAGTGTTTGTGTGTGAATGTGTCTTTGTGTGAAGGGGTAGAGGGTGGGTGCTGTAAAAACTTTCCAAGAATTCTGATAAACACCTGTCTTTCTTCTGACTGAAAATCATCTCCCTGCAGATAAGCAAGTAAGAACCATAGGCATGGTATTGGGGGTTAAGGTCTAGGAGGTGGGATGGTTCTGATAGATGACAAAGACCAGGAAGGGGGCTACTCGAGTGGAATGGAGTTGAAATGATTATGGTAAAGGCCAGGAAAGAGTGAACTTGGAGTCCTAGCTTTGTCCACTGCAGGATGACTGAGGCATTGAATTTCTCTTTTATGACCTGCAGCACTCTCTAACACCAAGTACATAGTGTTAATTCAATAAATACTCTTAATAGACTTTGTACATTTCAGAAAAATGTGTTACTTTTAATTATCAATTATGTGAGCATGCAACATTGATAAATACAAAAGTGATACAAGCTCACAAATGACTTCAGAGACTGCCACCCTTATAATTAAAGAACAATTTAGGGTCTATTAAGACATCATAAATCATAGATCCTTTCCTATTTTCACTTGATGATTACACATTTTCTCTCTACTACTACTATGGGTTTCACGTAGAAGCTGTGCTGCCCGGCAGTTACATTTCTTTATCCATTATTGTTTCCCTGAAGAGAAACAGTATTGTTCATCTTCTAAAATGGTACATTTCTACCGTATCTGAGTAAGACTCAAGCATAGGGCATTTACCATTTACTGTTCTGGGAGTATTATCTACAAATTGGATTTCAATCTCTGTTATTTATTGGAAAAATGTTCCTATGAATTTATGATAACAATATGTTGGCATAGGATGCTTACAATTGATAAAAGATAAATTTAGCAATTTCATGCTTATTGTAAATAAGTCAAAAAACCAAAGTCCCCTTGTTTGTTGTTAATTAAACAAAATGAGTAGCATGAAACAAAGAATATGAATCATGGCTGGGTGTAGTGGCTTACACCTGTAATCCCAGCACTTTGGGAGGCCGAGGCAGGCAGATCATGAGGTCAAGAAATCGAGACCATTCTGGCCAATGTGGTGAAATCCCCATCTCTACTAAAAATACAAAAATTAGCTGGGTATGCTAGCATGTGCCTGTAGCCTCAGGTACTTGGGAGGCTGAGGTAGGATAATCTCTTGAACCTGGGACACAGAGGTTGCAGTGAGCCGAGATCACGTCGCTGCACTCCAGCCTGGTGACAGAGCGAGATTTCGTCTCAAAAAGAAAAAAGAATCATGCTATGTTTACAGACCACATGCCAGAAAAATACCTTCTGGGAAATATACCCCCCAAATAAGATATAATTGAATTTCTGTTTTTTTTAAAGGTATACTTCGTATGACCTACTCATATCTGTGTTATTACCCATCTAGAGCCTTAAGAAAGGCATTTCTCCTTCTGGGATTCAGTTTCCTTCTCTAAAATATGGAGGCCAAAGAAGTTCATATCTGAAAGTTCCCTTACAGCTCTGCAGTTGGCTCTAATTTTATGACATGTGCACTAGAAAGCTCCTTGGTGACAACCATGGGTTCAGATCCTAAGTTCCTCGCTTATTAGCTTTTTAAGCCTCTAAAGGTTATATTTTATTGAGTGCTAATATTTTAATCTGTAAAATTGGATGAAAATACCACTCTAATAGAATTGTCTGAGGATCAAATGGGAGACTATGTGCTGCAAAACATTAGCATATGAATAGTTGGTTAATAGGCATCCAATGCTCTGGTTTCCTACCCTTTCCTTCTCTCCTTAAAAATTCAGATCCATGTGTATGCTTGACTTGCAAATAAAAGACATTAAAATAAAATTTGGAAGATACTGTGAATAAGCAAATTTTATAAGATGTGGACATTTTGGAAAATTATTTTTTATCTCCCCAGCTTGGGAATGCCTTTGGGTTTCAATATAGCAGACAAAGCAGTGGTAATAAGTCAAACTAAATCAAAGGCTCCATATGACTTTGCAGTTTAGCACTGTTTATATATTCAAAGACAAGCATGGCACCACATGCATTAATAATAGTATATCACATAGGAACATAAACCTTCCACATATACTCAGCACTGGTTCTAAACTTTACAAAATCACATAAAATCAGTTTGGAATTTCACAACCTTAAGAAAGAAGAGAAATTTAGATTCACAAGAAACTTACTAAAATATTTAATGAGGATACTGAAAACTGACTGTAGAGGTTGGATAGTTTAAGCAGATTACCAGAGATTGCCTCAAATAACCCTAGAAACCTCTTTTCTCACTTGTGAGTCTATTAATGGGTGATGTGTTTGAATTTTACTGCGCACATCGCTTCGTGGCCTTTTGGCTAAGATCAAAGGAATTTTACTGGGCATTTTGGCCCCTGATGGATTAGATAGAAGGATAGCATTCTAAAATTTAATCTTTCCTCTTTCTGCTCTTGGAAAGGCTGACATTATTAACTTCTTTTCTAGTAATATCTGATTGAGGACTAAATGCCACCCATGCCCTTACTTCCAGTCAGTTGAAAAGTCCTGTAGAAGGAGATGTGAGCAGACTTACCTTTTATCCTGTATGTAATTTTACATAGAAGCACTGAGTTTCTGGCACAACCACACAGATTACCTATTGAAATGCTGCTCTACCTACTTCATATGGAACAGTATCTAAGTCCTTGAGGACAGCTAAGGGGGCTTGTTACTGTAAAGGGACTCCCATAATCTGCTATTTGTCCAGTAATTCATGAACCATTGGCATATTACTGGTTCCTTATTTATTACCACTGACAAATGATTTCATAATACTGACCAGAGGCATTACACAGTTCACAAAAACTTTCCATATAAGAACCACGATGTTAAAACACAGCAGAGGCTATCAAACACAGTAGTAACAAGAATTTTGTTAGCTTCTAATGATAATCATTATTGTATCAGAATGCAATTCACACTAGTTATTAGTAAAAGTTTACAAACATTAAAAAGTGCATAATAACATTTGGATCTGAGAGGGCTGAAAAAAGACATGAAAACACAACACCAGGGCTTTACTTTTGTGATTGGTGTCCACATGATTGCAAGGAGATTACTTTTTCCACCTTATTCAGCTTTGTGAAGATAAGTTGTCCTCCAAATTTAAATAGTATCATACAGCATTGTGAGAAATTTGATTCCATAGAACAAAATATTTCCAGTCCTCAGTATGATCTTGGCTTTTCCTTTATACTTTTCCAGTTGTCCAAAATTCTCACATACATATGTGTATATATATTAAATGTGAGAAGTTCTCCACTTGAGAATAATAAAAAATTGACAGATTGAATTTCAGCCTGTGCAGACACCAAACAGACTGAATTCAGGTAATATTCACATTAATGGATATTTTCAAATGTCTGTGTATTACAGCACTGGAGTCTTGATAAATCTGTTAGACTTAATCAACTCATCGACATACAATGAGCAAGGGGAAAGACTGTTTTTAAAAAGTGTGTTCTATCCTGTGTACACCACCACAGTATGGAAAAAAAAAGACAGCCCTTTTAAAAATGATTGGTATAAAAATTCACAGTAATGTACATTATTTTGTTTTTCATAAGCAATCAGAGAAGGGGGCAGTGCTGAGCATCTATATTGTACAATACAAAACAGTGTAAATAACACAGCAGTAACACACAGATACATAATGCTAAAAACAGTGCTTTCTGGATCTTTCTTTTACTGGGTGAACACTTGAGCCAGAGATATTTAAACTCTGGTGTTCAATCAACCCTTTGCAATTAGACACAATTAAATCCTCTGACATTGTGAGGGGCCAGATGCTACAGGAAGAATCATCATCTAGGTCGGTGCTACTCTCTATAAGCATTTCGTCATATGATCAAGTGAAAGGATCCATACAAAAATGACGCCCAAACAAAAGCCACATGATTTCAACCATTGCTAATGACAGAGATAGGGAAAAGTCTGCCTGCAGCCACAGCCTCTGCCCTCATTTTTAACATGATAACGAGCAGGTTCCTGCAATGCAGCACAGCCATTTTCTTTTTCCTCTTTTCACTCATGGAAACAAATGCATTCCAGACACTCCTGGAGATTTGAGACATTGTCAGGTGTTGCAGAGGGTCAAAGTGGGGCGTTAACTTTCAGATTTTGCTGCTTCTCCCTGGGCTTCCCCACTTTGTTCTGTAGAACTTCGTTGTGCATCTTCTTCGCCTTCTGCAAAAGAAAAATAAAAACAAACTAAAGGCAAAATAAAAATGATTGCTTATATTTACCAACTCTCAATATGTCATATTGACAACTTCAGAAATACTAAAGAAGCCTGAAACCCTCATAGGGACAAGTATATTTCTTGGTAGTCAGTTCACCACTAAGAAAATAGCTTAAGTTTTCAGGGACTGATTAATTCTGTGGACTTGCAATAGCATGAGTCAAAAACAAATAATATTCAAATTTTCAGAGTAGCTGGTGATCAGCTAAGCCTCGGATAAATAGCTCAGAAATCTCATGGGCCGTTCATGTCACTTAAATATACTTTCACAGGCTGTAGAAATCAGAAATATATTTAAGTAGAAATCAGAAGTGGTAGCATATTTACCTTTTTATGCCTAATTGTCTTATTTGAATAAATATTTTAAAACTATTTTCTGCTTTTTATAGCACTTGATGATAATCTAGCTAGTTTCTCAGAGGTTCTATTAGTTCAAAGTAAAAGCAGTATTGGAAAATGAAAGGACACTATGTCAGCTGGCCAGTCCCTTATCAAATACTTATAATGGCCTCTGGTCTGCCCTTAGAGAACATGTGCACAATTCCAATAAAACCACCCTCATAACTGCACCCTCGGTAGCAATCTTATCCAGTGATATAGTGAACATTAAACCTGAACAATGCTTTCACTCCAAGAGCAAGCTGTTGGCAATTCTAGACTCAAAGATTCAAATATCTGCATGCAATATTTGGTTATCAGACAGCCAATATGGCTTACTGGACAAAATGTTTTCTGATGTTGCAATAATATAAATGAATCAATATTTGCTAAGTGTTTGTTATTATAATTCAAATGAAAGCAGGTAAGTGGGCTGGTCCATTCTTTAGACCAGGCGTCCCCAAACTATGGCCCACGAGCCGCATGCGGCCCTCTGAGGCCATTTATCCGGCCCCACCCCGCACTTGAGGAAGGGGCACCTCTTTCATTGGTGGTCAGTGAGAGGAGCACAGTACGTGGTGGCCCTCCAATGGTCTGAGGGACAGTGAACTGGCCCCCTGTGTAAAAAGTTTGGGGACACCTGCTTTAGACCATAATGTTATAATGCAGTTTCTCCTCTACTCTTAGCACCTCACCATACTCCCACAACATTAAATCTTTAGGAAAATTAAAACCAATTCTTCTACATAAAAATATTTTCTTCTAGTAACAGTACAAAGGGTATGACCAGACATTATATCTGATTTTCATGCACTATTTTATTATGAGAGGCTCCTATGATTTGCAGATGGCCTGGTTCTGAGATGTGTAGATTAGCATGCAACAGGAACTTGATAAATAGGAGAAGCTTCTGGTAACCAAAGAAATAAAGTCAAATAAGGGCTACGTAAGACAGTAGAATATGTAAGGATGAAAGAGATTGTATAAATACAAGATTGAGGAATTTGATTCTCATGGGGCTTGAGACCTTGTAGGTGTCTGGGGACACTTTTCGGAGCTTGCCATTATGCTGCAAACATAGAGGGTATTGCTATATAGATGCTATTAACAAATAAAGGTAAACGTGAAACAGCAATATTGCTGAGTATAAACTAAAATGAAGCTGAAACATTTACAAATTACAAAGGAAATTCCTTGCAATTCTCAGTGATGTTGAGTTTGTCATTACATATTTGTCTTTTTTTATGTTTTATACCTTCATATTATACAGTTATTATTTTTAGTTTTTTGTACTTAAAGTTATTGCTTTTTATACTATTACTGGTTTTGGACTTTATAATTTGAAGAGAAATAAAAAATGTTGCAAGAGTCTAGTGAATTGCAATTAACATGCAAAAATGTTTAGAAAAGAAGACAATCAGAAGTTTAAAGATAATTTATTTTAAATTACTTAATATAATGAAAAAAATTATTTATATTTAGTAATATAAAATTTCAATTTATTTTGTAAATGATGTATAATAATTTAATATGTTTTCAGGAAAATTAAACAATTTTGGGGCTAACAATTCTCAACTTCAGGAAAAATAGAAAAGGAAGAAATTAAATTACACTGTGAATAAAAATGCCTTAATATTAAGAGTGGCTAAAATTAATGCAGGCTATTTAAAATAGCATATTTGTATGAAAGATAAAATATAGGCCGGGTGTGGTGGTTCACACCTGGAATCCCAACACTTTGGAAGGCTGAGGCAAGTGGATTATGAAGTCAGCAGTTCAAGACCACCCTGGCCAAGATGGTGAAACCCCATCTCTACTAAAAATACAAAAATTAGCCAGGTGTGGTGTGGGTGCCTGTAATCCCAGCTACTCGAGAGGCTGAGGCAGAAAATTGTTTGAACCAGGAGGTGGAGGTTACAGTGAGCTGAGACTGTCCCACTGTACTCCAGCCTGGGTGACAGAGTGAGACTCCATCTCAAAAAAAAAAAAAAAAAAGAAAAGAAAAGAAAAAAGAAAAAAAAAGAAAATATAAATCTTATGAAAGATTTCAGGAAAAATGTATTCATCCATCTCATGTTACCAAATTGGGATAATTCCCTATACCATCTTTCTCAGAGCTGTTCTGAAAAGTAACTACTGGTAGTAATAATAGCACAACAATGAAACCTAAGATATACACAGGTCTACATATTCCGAAGTGGTGATGTTAAAGTTTTATTATTAATGTGAATTTGAAAAGAACAGTCTGGAACTACTAAGCTTTAGCTATTGAATAAAATACTATCCTTACGTGTGTTAAAGTAATGTTGCTGAGCCATTTCATTTATATATATATATATATATATATATATACATATACACACATACATATACATTTTATTAATATATATACTAAATATATTAATGAAATGGTTCAGCAACATTATATATATATGCACATACATATATAAATATATGTGTATATATAAATTTATATATATATACATATATATGTGTGTGCATATATATATATATCACACACACACACACACACACACTCTTCAATTTTCTAATAATCTAAAAGGTTTGCCTTAAAAATTCTAACAGTGAAGACCTATTGAATAATTAGGAGTCGGAACCTGTGATAAGTGCTTTCCATGCACATAATATCAGAGTTCCCTAATCATGAATTCTTTTTACTTTTAAAGGTTATTTTTATACAAGTCTTCTCAAGGAAACACATTCAGCTTTGATATCTGCAAAAGCTATGGGTGGAGGAACTATCAAGGGACTTATTCTAATACTCAGAAGTAAAAATGTCAAGTATTTTAATCCATCAGACTTGTTTTTCATTAATAAAGATAGACTACTTGGGTAGGAATTCAAGGCCCAGTAAGAAGACAAATTTTTCACAAACCCATTCTGCCTGGAAAGGGAAACCAAAAGGCCCTTTTACCTAAGACTTACTTACGTAACAGATCACTTTACTTCCATTCTTAATAAAACTCCTCCTGGAGACTCTTTTTTTCTAAAATCGTTCTTAGAATTGAAGTCTGTCAGAATTACCTGTGAATCTTGTTAAATATCTGTCTACTAAATGTTAGTAAATGTTAGAGGTGGCCAATAATGTCAAAGGTAGGAGCTCTAACTTTGCTAAATACTGAACGTAAACAATTTCAGAACTTTTATAGAAATTAGGATTTTTAAAAAACACCATGTGTTTTATTGCTTGCATTAATACAATCAGATTAAGGACTCTGCATTTGAGTGGGAAACCTTCTAAAGAGACATCACTGAAAATAGAGCAGGAGTGATTAAGAGATTAGTCTCAGACTTTCATCTTGCCTTAGATGGTTTAAAACTCTTTATATTAGATTACTTTCAAAGATGGCTTTTAGTGTCTTAATCCCACTTAGTAAAATGCTGCAAATCATTCTATGCACATAGAGAAATGTGTGCCAGATGACTTACCTGTCTTGTTGATATCAAGACCTGCTAATTTCAAGGCTAATTCATTGCTGTTGCCACTTGCAGAGGAAACCAGGATATCATGTATTGCATTTCTTCTACCTGTTCTTCCTGAAGCAATAAAATCTGCATATGTAGTTTCCACATCAGTCATTGCTACCAAATATCCACATAGCAGGGACTACAAGAAAAAAAATTAATAGGTAAATATAATGGCAGTCAATGCTAAACATTTAACAAAGACAACTGTTAAACTACTGGCCTAGTATATGAATGTGAAACACTTGGCCTGTTTACAGGTTCACAAAACAAGTAATGCCTTTTCTGGTCCTAAGTATTTAGAACAAAGTTCTGGGAACCTTTAATGTACAGGGCCTGATAGTGCACATTTAGGCTTTGAGGGTCATATGATCTCTATTCCATCTACTCAACTTTGTCTTTACAGTGTAAAAGCAGCTATAGCCAATATGTAAAACAAATATAATAAACAAATCAGGGAATGAGCCAGATTTGGCCTGCATGCTATAGTTTGTTGACATTTATTTTACATTATAAAATTATCTTTCTCTAATACCATTTTAGTGATTCTTCAACTCCAGAGAGAACTTGAGATCATGTGGGGGGCATTGAGTGAAAAGTGGTTCATCCTGGGGGTGAGCAGTAAGTGAATGCATTGTCTGTATAGTCTGTTAATGCAATGGACCAAAATTCAGTTTTCTTTTTATTACCACTATGATGTCATGCACCAGCAATTCTAAATATCTTCAGTGATCAAATACTTCTCCCAGTCCAGAAAAACAGCTCCCCATGTACCCCTTGGTAAGTCATTACTTGAGAGGAATAACAAACACTCTTGATTAAATCTTGGAAATAAAATGTCAAAGGTACAAAAACAGTGATTACTCAAAACTCTCTCATTTCTATCATTAAAATTGCCATACTGCCCAAAGCAATTTATAGATTCAATGTTATTCCTATCAAAACCAATGACATTTTTCATAGAATTAGAAAAAATAAAAAGCATTCTAAAATCCATAAGGAACCAAAAAAGAGCCCAAATGGCTAAAGCAATCCTAAGCAAAAAGAACAAAGCCAGAAGCATCATACTAGCCAACTTTATACTACAAGGCTACAGTAACCAAAACAGCATGATACTTGTACAAAAACAGTCATAAATACCAACGAAACAGGTTAGAGAACTCAGAAATAGAGCCACACTTCCAACCATCTGATCTTCAACAAAGTTGACAAAAACAAGCAATGGGGAAAGAACTCTCTCTTAAATAATTGGTGATGGGATGACTGACTAGCCATATACATATTGAAACTGGACCTTTTCCTTTCACCATGTACAAAAATCAATTCAAGGACTAAGTCAATTTAAATTGATTAAAGACTTAAATGTAAAACCTAAAACTGTAAAAATTTTAGAAGAAAACATAGGGAATACAATTCTGGACACAGGCCCTTGCAAAGAATTTATGACAAAGACTCCAAAACAAATTGCCACAAAGGCAAAAATTGACAAATGGGACATAATTAAACTAAAGAGCTTCTGCACAGCAAAATAAACTATCAACAGAGTAAACAGACAAACCATAGAATGGCAGAAAATAGTCTCAAACTACGCATCTGACAAGGGTCTAATATCCAGAACTGATAAGGAACTTAGATCAACAAACAAAAAGCAAGCAGGCTCATTAAAAAATAGGCAATGAATTTGAGCAGACACTTCTCAAAAGAAGACACACATGTGGCCAACAAGCATATGAGAAATTGCTCAACATCACTAATCATTCGAAAAGTGCAAATCAAACCTACAATGAGATACCACCTAACACCAGTCAGAGTGGCTATTATTGACAAGTCAAAAAATAGCAGATGCTGGTGAAGTTGCAGAGAAAAGGGAGCACTTACACACTACTGATGGGAGTATTAACTAGTTCAGGCCCTGTGGAAAGCACTTTAAAGACTTCTCAATAAACTTAGAACTACCATTAGACCCAGCAATCACATTAGTGGGTATATACCCAAAGGAATATAAATCATTCTACCATAAAGACACATACACATATATGTTCATTACAGCACTTTACACAATAACAAAGACATGGAATCCACCTAAATGTTCATCAACAGTGGATGAGATCACGTTTGTTGCAGGAACATGGATGGAGCTGAAGGCCATTATCCTAAGTGAATTAATGCAGGAACAGAAAACCAAACACTGCAGGTTCTCATTTATAAGTGGTAGCTAAAAATTTAGTACAAATGGACACAAAGAAGCAAACAATAGACAACAGGGCCTATTTGAGGATGGAAGGTGGGAGGAGGGTGAGGATCAAAAAACTATCTATAGGACACTATGCTTATTACCTGGGTAATAAAATAATCTGTACACCAAATCCCTCAAATACGCAATTTACCCATGTAACAAACCTGCATATGTACCCCTTGACCTTAAAATGAAAGTTGGAAAGTAAAGAAAACAAACAAAACCAAAAACCACCTCATTTCTAAAATCCTGAATTTGGTAATTCTTCTGGCCACAGCCACCGTTTCTTTCTCTTTTCCTCTTGTACTCAGTGAACCAGTTCTTTACACTAATGCTGTCTTTAATTCCTTGAACCACTTTTATTTTAGTTTCCCTCTAGGTCCAGTCCCACGCGAATCAGTTACCCACTACTTTTTGTAGTTTTTTTATTAGCATCAAGAAGTCCCTTTGGTCTATTGTTATCTTTACTTTCATACCTACACTTCACTGCTGGGAAAACACTATAGTATATTTTCTCTGATCTCAGTACTGGGTGGCTGAGTGTTACCAGAAAAAGTCAGAAAATTGTGCCAACTGGCTCAACTAGAAATTTTGGACTCTATTATTAGAATACACTTGGATGGAGTTGCTCAGAAATGCTTCTGTTCACCTCCAGTTGACTCTTCCTTATGCTATTCTCTGTGGGAATGATTCCAAACCCTTTCCAGTCTACACACCAGACACCACCTACCTTAAGGGATGACTCTGCATCTTCCCCTGAGAAGACAGGACATCTGTTACAAATTCTCTAAAAATTCTTCCTTTTTCAAACAACATTTTTCTGTATCACCACTATTCTTTCTTTTATGGACAAATTGACCTTTCTTTTTAAGACACACTATTGATTTTATTTCCTTCCACCACTAATGCCATTACCCACTACCCATTAACATGACACATGTTGGAGAATATATTTTCCCTCATTTCCCTCCCTTGATATCCATGTCTAATCACTTGCCAGGTCATATTGGTTTCTATTTGATGCAACTTATATTTAGTCCCTGTAAAACATGGGAACATGAACATCAACCAAATACTCAGATTTTCCATTCCCTAAGTTTCTCTGCATCACAACCTATCTAAAACGCTGTTATCTCAAAGGCCTTCCAAGCCTGCTGCATAGCCTATGGAACACATTTTGAATTTTTTAGCATTTCTTTTAAAGCTTTTCATGATCTGGAAAGGACTCACTTTTTTTTTTTTTTTTTTAACTTCAACCACTTGCTATCATATTTGGTATGTTTTAGAATAATAAGCAATATTTTTCCAGAGCTTCTCTGCTGGTGTACTGGTTTAAGTCTGTTATTTCACCTGTAAAAGTATTTCCCCAACAAACTTGCTTGTTAAAGTTGACTTAGCTCTCAAAACTCAGCCAAACATCATCTTCTCTTTTACCTCATTTCCCTGTCTCTTTAGCTACCAATTTACAGGTTTGATTTGTATCTGTACAGGGCATTTAAATTCTAACTAGCATTATAGCTACTTCTCCTTCTCAATAGATCTGTTGACTCTGACAAGGTCTATTGGCTCTGACAAGGCAGGAACTGCATTTGTTAGTATTTTAATCACATACAATTTCTAGCAGAGTTCTTTGCACATGGCCAATGTTAAATAAGAATATGTTGTATAGAACTGATCAGTGAGGAAGAAATATATTAATTGCATTACATCAGTGGACACAGGAGACTTTCCAGCTTCCTGATTGTACTACTTTACTAAAAACTAAAAATTCATCTACTTCAGTCTAGAAGTTTTTATTGATGAAGAACCTGAGGACCAGATAATTCAAGTGTTCTGACCATATTCACATAGTTAGTGAATTAATCTGCCCATATTCATAAAGTTAATGGATTAAGTACTTGGAACTCAAGTCTGCAAAGTTTCTGCCCAGGCTTTTTACTTTATCAGGCAGCCTGTCTATGAGTAAGTCAGAGTTTGAATAAAGTTTTTGACCTTGGAGTAATTCAGTGTTATTAAGTGTAAAGATATTTGCATTATATCTGCATTACCATTAATCAACACAGTATTTGGTTTCTGCATTACTTCAAAGGTTTAGAACTGAACATGCACATCAACCTAGCAAATACATCTTATAAATATTTAAGAAGAGGTGGAGTCCCAAGATATATTCAAGCTCTGTTCACAATGATTTTCACTCTTAGCCTCTTTTTATGGCTTTTAAAAACATAGGCTTTAATAAAAAGCACAAGTGCTATTATTTCTCATCTGATAACAATGTTGTAAAGTAGGAAAACAAATCCTCATTTTTCAAATGAAGAAAGTAAGTCTCAGAGATTTTAAGTAATCACTAAATCATACATATAACTATGACTTAAACTATGTCTTTGTGTTTTGTGTTAAAGGGCATTTCACTTTGAGGTAAAGATTTCTGTTTTTTTGCCATTATCATTTCTAAATGCAGACTGCCATAATAACACATGTCTTTGTAGGGGCTTATATCTAATTCTCCTTGCTGAAAATAGTTTTTAAAAGATATGAAATATCAACAATGAGGCAAAGAAAAGTGGTAAAATTTTCCATGAAAAGATACATATTAAAAGAATGTGTCTTGTGCTATGATTTATCTATTTGGGAATTTTAAAAGACCTTGGCAGCAATTCTACTTATATGTGGGTAACCAACAACTTACTTTGAATTTTCATTTAGTGCACTCCCAAGTAATGAGCTCATGAGGGAAGAAATGACATAATGAAAGACATAAACATATATTGTGCTTACTTTTAAAATCTTCATGTATAGCTCTCATTTCAACAGAATGAAAGACAATATAGACAATTATGAGAAGAGCTTATTTCCTGTAAAGTTGAAATATATTTTTAGTTTAATGTGCGTCCAATTCTGCACGT